GAATAAGATGCATATTTTACAACCTCTCATACATTATATTCAAGTATACATGATTAATTCGAAAGTTAAATGAATAATAAATGGATGTTATAATTTACACTATATATACAGTGTATATAGGACAGATATACAGAATTCAATGTATATGCAATGTATGTACATTTGTTACCGACTGGTGAACAGAAGACGCGGAGTGCGAATACCGGCTTAGCCAATTATTGTTTTTCGGCGGATTTATAGTTTAAACTTCTATATCAGTATCATTCATTGATCTGCACATTGGTATTAAAATGTATACCATATACATTACCTTAGACTAGATACACCATATACCGACCAGAAACTCCAGATTACAAAGCATATGCACTCTTCAAACTTTGCACTATCAATGGTCTTACCTGTAGTCGCATATCTCTTTTACAAGGGTTATGTCCTATTAACTTCTAGCGTTACTTTCAGAGATGCCGTTAAAAATTAAATTTAAATTAGGAAGACCTGCTATCGGCTAAGAGTTTAACATAACAACGACGCGAAAACATTCCGCCGTCTCATGTGCTCATGAGGACATTGGAGGACAAGCACAGGACAAGAGTGGTTGTCCTGTGCTTGCCCTCTGTGTTTTATTCTTTCAATTTTATGTATTCAAACGGAGTAATCGCTCTTTCTCGCGTGAGTTGAAACGTGGTGGGGCCAATGTGCAAATAGCCCCCAACCACTTCCGGTTCTGAACTGGACGTCGGGTTTGGTAGTATTTGCGAAATCAAACATACACGCTATCTTCTGGAAATGGCCACTCAGAACGATGTCAGACCTGATTCTATCTTACGATAAAAGAATACGGACTAAAAAAGGAGTTAATATACGTGAACCGGGATCTTGGCAATAGGAGGCGTTACTGAGTTTGTTTCTAAAAGCAAAAAAAAAAAAAAGGCGAAATACTAAGTGCAATCCAAATTGTTGGCAATTTTAACTTCTTCGTAGTTTTACCCGTGATTTCAATAGTGCCTCAATATGCACTGAAAACAGGCCAAGTTATCAGTTTCCTGGATTTTTAAAAACAATCTTGCGCTATAAGAATAATAGTATCTAACGATTATACGGACTCCGTGATCTTTGTAAGAAAGAATCTACAAAATAATTTTCCCCCTCGCGCGCGCCTGAAACTCAGTTTTGTACAGTTGTTGTTAGCGATGTAAAAGTGAGAAAGTGGAAGGGAGTCAATCGTGCGGTCGCTCGAGGCGACTCTGTCACTGATTCAATTTCGTGCGGAGAAATTTTCCAATTCACCGAGGAGCGGGTGAATCGCCTTATGATTAGCTATAGTTTTTGTAAATATTATATAACCTCGCGGTTTTCTTTCTTAATTTTCTGTTATGCCTGCTTTGTGTTACTCTTAATTTTGTATGGCTCAATTTGTCGTCCTCCATACCTAATGTCCTTTAAAACATAAAGCTTGTGAAAAAAAAAAAAAAAAAACTATGTTAAAAGTATCAGCATGAAAAGTATTTCTGCGCATAAGTCACATAGGGGCTCCGGTATTATCCGTAGATTCCGTTCCATAGATAACAATTTTAGCTCTTGGTGGGCTCGTCGCAGAGGTAAACGCGCCGACATCTTTTTATGAAGTCCTGCTTGCGACAACCCAGTAAGTACGACACCTAAAGATTTCTAAGAGCCTGAAAGACGGGTCGCCTAATGTTTGACTAAATTTGACGGCATAGAACATTGTCGAGCCCATAATACAGAGCGGAGCCCGTTGGATACACCTAATAAATTGTATCGATCGATTTAAAAGCAAACGGGGAATCTCGACATATCCCGGGGGAGCTTAGGTATCTGAAAGGGTAGCACCGCTGGGAAACTGATTTTGCACAACATCGTTCTCAGTGTCGTTTCTAAGGCGGAGAGCTATAGGTCATGTGTTTTAGAGCTCTAATGGGTTCTGATGGGCTAGTTACCTGGACAGATGCTTAAACCACGAAGAAACTCTCGGCCAGGGGCGCATCTGCTGGCGTTCGCGAGAGGCGCGACCATTTGATGCTGACACCAAAGGAAGCGTTCCATGCACGTCTGTCGGCGTCTGTTCACGCGCGCCAACAAAGCGTTTCATGCAAAAGTCAACATTTTTTCTTAAATAAACAAAATAATAGTGCAACTCCTCCAGTGTCCTATCAAAACGCTACAACAATTTCAACATTTTTGTCCTTATTTTATTTGACAAATTTACATCGACGTGAGCGAACGCGGTGACTCCCAACTGAAAGCGAGACTTAAAAATTTCAAAATTCGCCCACTGGGGCCGCTGCTAAAAACTCGAGAGCCACAGGTATAGTGTGTGAAGGACAAGTAGAGGACAGCGCCATTCATATCAGCCGTCAAAGTCTCTTGGGAGGAGGGTAATGGACGGTCCTTCGGAGGGCATGGTCTCCAAATGGTATGCGTCGAGAAAGTGAGGGAGAGGAGGGGGCGAGAGCGCGCGGGAAGGTCAGAAGGCCGAGCTCTGATTGGACCGATTAGTGGGTCGACTCAAAACCTTGGTCTCCACTGCGCTGGTCGAACGCGGAGCGCCGGCGTCCGGGGTTGGGCTTCCGCAATCGACGAGTGGAGTGGAGACAAAGGCAGCTGGCTTTTGACGTCTACCCACTAAAGCCGGTGTCGCGTGGCTTGTACCTCATACAAAAGACAGTCTGCAAACAGATTCGAACGCGAGTCAGCACAAGATTCGTGCTTGGAATGGCGCGATGCAATGAGTTGAAGGAGAAACTTGGCACGCGGCATTCGAAGCTCGTGCTTGCAGACTGTCTTTTGCATGACGTGTGAGCAGTGTGATCCCCTGGCTTAATCCTTTCAACCAGGGTTTGGCGTTCTGACGTGCCTCCCCCATGCCCTCTCTTCTCCTCCTCTCCCTAAGTTTCTCGGCGCATAGCGGTGCAGAAGGGACGGTCTCCTTGTCCCTCTGCATTTTTTTTTTTAGGGGGGGGGGGGGTGTTTTATTATTCGGATACCATATGCCTCCGTGCAATAATCCTGCGTTCAAAGTAAGTTCGAAGTAAAAAAAAAATAACAAAAGATCGAGGGAGTGTGGAACATTTGCTTTACTTTACTCTTTCGTTATCTGCTTTTTTTTATACGCGGATGTTTCTTTTTCCTTGTTTTTGTTTTTTATTCTTCTTGTGTTTTCCTTGGGCGATTAAAAGGGCCAAATTTCAGATAGAGTCACTAACGATATTTGGTTTCCCCTCATAAATTTTGATTGGCGCAAGGTGTTACTCGAATATTTTTTCACAAAACAAAAGCACCGTGCACGGTCGCACTTTCGTGTTATTAAAACCTCGTCAAATTGCGAACCGTTTCAATTTTTTTGTCCGTTCATCGAGGTAGGTTAGAATAATTTAATCGACTCGCGTGGAATCACATAAAAAAAAACAAAAAAAAACCGACCCTCTTTTCAAATGCAATTCCAGAGAGCTTAGATAAAACGCGTTTCGTCGAGCATTAGGGATATACCGAATGGATATCACTGCAAAAAAAGCCCGTGCGTCTACTTTTTCGGCACAACACTCGGAAAGTCAATCAATGCAACTTAAGGAGGCAGCTCAGCGAATGAAGATACCGAAACATATGTTTAGACTAAAAAAAAAAAACGCAGTGTGAGTTGTGACACTAAGCAATGTAAAACGTCAGGCTTGCATTGCTTAATGCCACAACTCATTCTGCGTTTTTTGGTCTAAACATACGTTTTGGCCTCGTCATTCGCTGAGCTAGGCTCCGCAAGTTGCGCTGATTGGCTCTCCGAGTGATGTGCGGAAAAGTGGACGCGCGGGCTTTTTTCAGATTGTAGGAAACAACACACCAACACGCCGCTTTAAATTGTCGGGTAGCGCCCAGAAGAGCCACACGCGAACTTCGATAATTAATCTCCGATTTGACCTAGGTCTAATGACAGACTACGAAAAGCCAACATTGGACGGAGAACCGGCGACAGTTGTTAACTGTAGTTTGTTGCCCTAACCAAAGCGTCTCGCGCACATTCGGGGCCGCTGAAAAAGTTTTAACTTTGTTTTCTTCGCCGCCAAAGTAGAGATACGCATGCTCGAATGCTGTGCCCACCCGAATGCAAGTGCGAGCGGTTGGGGTCAAACGGCAAAGTTTCAGACTTGAAGCCTTATATGATCCAAGAGTTACACGGGCAGGTTTCGAAAATTTTTAATTAGGAAATACGTTGCCCGTCCCCGGTAGCAGACGCTTTTCATCTCCATGTATCCGCGGGCTCTGTAGGTCGCCTTTTGCTTAATAAAAATTTTCGAAAATCACTTCCAGGTATTTAAACTTGCTAACGATCGCTCTTTTTAAACTTTGGCGTATTTGATCTGAGCCGCCGGTGCTAGACTAAGCAGGAAAGCAAGCTGTGATTGACGTGTAGTTTACTTCCAACGGTAACAAAAAAAGAAAGAAAAAAAAAACGCAGCTTAGATATTTTTTCACCGTTTATGTAACTTTTTTGTTTTCTTTTATACAGAAATATCCCAGGAGCGACACTTTCACATGAAAAGGAAAAAAAAAAAACAAAAAAAAAAAACATTCTGCGCGTAGATTTTAGTTGTGCTTGTCACCCCGCGTATTTATGCCTCTCGGTTTCCCGGAGGGGTATGCCTCCGAAAAGAGATTTCCGGAGATGGTTGGAAAGACCGATAGAAAATTGAACCGAGTGGTTATGCTTAATTGGGCAATATTAACAGCGACCAAACACACGCACACACAAACACACACGCAAGGGACCAGGAACGAGATATGCTTGCGCACATCTCATTCCTGTACACCGGTTGTTCTTGTTGGCGCTGTAAATTTTTTCGGAACTAAGGTTGACAGGAACCGCGCGTCTGGGGAAGCTGTTTCCCAGATTCGGCACTCGGAACCGTGTCCGTCGCTCACGGAGCAGGGAAGCGGCGGCGGCCCGGGATGGGGCGCCGTCCGGACCCGGACCGTGTCTCTCGACTCACCTTCGGAAGAGCGGGCCAGACCTCGGAGAGCGCAGGGACCTTTCCAGCAGTTCGAGGGACGCGAGACTGCCCCGACGTTGAACTCGGCGCGCGGCTCAGACTCCGGGCTTGCGCCCCCGATTGCCCCCCCCTCGGACCGGTCACGTGTCCGCACACGCTCGGCCAATGGGGACCCGGGGCGCTGCCAGCTCGCCCGGTGCACGTCACCCGTTTCGCTCGCGCTGATCGCGTGCCATTAGGAAGTGAAGCGACGCCGGGGAGGCTTCATTCGGCGAACAATGCAGACAAAGCGCTCAATGTGTACCCTGCTCATTTCGGAGGAGTGCCACCGGAAGATTTTAAAGGCCACTCGACGAGAGGCATTTGTGGCACGGTCGGGGGAAACGGGCGGCCGACGAGCGCATTTTAGAAATCACGAGGCGCGCAGCCGCGGCGCGAGGCTCTTGAAAACGCGCAGCTAGCCGCGCAATATTCTGCTGCCAGGTCTATTCAATTCAAGCGCGGCGGCAGGAGAGACGCATTAAGGCGGCCGAGGGATGGCTCCCCAAATAAGATCCTTCGCCGTCCCAAAGTGCAGTGGGACGCTCGCTCTCATCTAGGGGTATTATAATCGTTCGTTTTTCCAAGGAACACCCAAACGAGAAAACAAAAAAAGAAGAGAAACTAAGAGCGCTTTCACTTAACCGTCAAAAGCGCGACGGCGCGGCGAAAGGGCGACATTTGTGGAGTTTCTCCGCAGTTCTGGAACGCGTCGACGCACTCGAGGAACTTTTGCGGGGTTTCTTCGAGTTGAAGAAACGCCGGAGAAAACGCCTCCCACGCGTTGTCCGCTACTCATTCGAAATAGTCAGAAAGAACCGAGGCCAAAGTTCCGCGTAACCCTTCAATTAAGCTACAGAAAGCGGGATTTAATCCCGGAGTAATCGGCCCGCTTTCATTCCTCATTAGTAAATTGGCTCCAGTCGTGGAACGCATGAGGGGAGACCAAGTCCTCAAAGTTTCCACTCCGATTCGAAAACAAAAGAAAAAAGTGTAGCTAATTTATTTGCAACTTGCAGCCGAACATCATAGAGGGGGAGGACGGGTACGGCAAAGATTAGCGGAGCTTAAGAGTCACATAGCTAAGCTCAGAACTCGGAGCATCGGCAGTCTTGTCCGAGGCCACATTGTCCGATACTGCCAAAACTGCCAGGCGTCCGTTCGGGTCACGTGACCTTTGTTTACGCGTGTGGGCGGTTCGTGGGTGCCCAGCTACACAGTAAACTTTTACACCCTTAAAGGTGCAATGGCACTTAAAACACCCTTCTGACACCCTTTTTAAACATGAAGGGTGTTAAAATGGTCTCCGACACAACTAGAACACCCTTTGTACACCTTTAAATATCAAAAAGGTGTAGAAGAGTGCGGAGGGTGCAAGGAAGGGGTTAAGTAATGAGGATACACCCCATGATGCCGCCAGGGGTGTAAGGGTGTTTGGAGTTAGGTTGTTGAAAACAGTGCAGAGCCGCTTCAGATTAATACCGACTGAGACATTAATCTGAAAAACCACGATCCCATAAATCCCATGATTTTGGCAGCGGCGGCAGCGAATCCTCCACATCATAACTTACACCCTTTAAATGTTCACAGAGTCCATCGACGACAAGCACTGGAACATCGTAATTCACGGAACCCATCTGCCACGCGCCGAATCGACCAAGCGCAATCAACATCCTGCTGCGCAGCCATTGGACGGAATAGGACGGGACAACACAGCGCCACCACCAGGATTAGCATAAAGGAGGCTGCAGGCTGTGACCACCACTTTGGCAGCGGCGGCAGCGAATCGTCAACACCCCATCATAACTTACACCCTTCAAACATTCACAGGTTGGAATCAATATCTTTCGCAACACGTTTTACCGTTGAGCAATCCGCTGACGCCGCTGCCTTTAGCGTCTTTAGCGTGTTTTTGTCTTTGTGCTGAAAGCGTTGAAATGAGTGCTGACCTTGCAAAACTCTGCGACAATCTAAAAAAAGGAATTGAACAAGATCTACGTGAATTTCGTAGCTCCTTTGAAAGGGACCTACAAAAGGAACTGAGAGAGGTCAAGGCTAGTCTCGAAAACTTCAACAAAAATTTTGAAGATCTGAGGAGAGAGGTAACCGCCGTTAGAAAAGAAAACACCGGCTTGAAGACTGAGAACCCTGCGCTGCGGTGGGAATGCGAGAGCATAAAAAACACGCTGAGCAAAACGGCCAGAGGCTCACACTCTGTGAACAATAATCCAGAAATCGAAATATTGAGATAAAAAACGTCCCCGAGGTTCGAGGCGAAAACTGAGCCGCTGTTTTGCAGAAGATCGGCGAGCTGATCGAGGAACCGATCGCGGAAAGTGACATTGACATTTGCCACCGCGTGCCAGCAGGCAAGCAATCGGCATGTCCCCCACGTCATTGCTCAGTTCGTTCTTCGCTCCAAAAGAGACGCGGTCACAGAAAAAGTACGGAGGAAACGAATGACAACTGCTGACCTCGGCCATGCGTCACGTACCGCTATCTATGTGAGCGAGCATTTATTTTTATTTTATTTTTTTGAGGGGGAGGTACACGTTTTTGACAAAAATATTGAAACGATAAATTTAGTACATATTTGCTTAAAGGCAAGAAACAATACAAGTATACCTACTCAAGAAAAAGTACACTCGTTCACCAACAAAAATAGCGTAATATACCCACTCAAAAGAACACTCGTTCACAAACTGGGAGCATTGTGCCAACCAGGCTACAGGAAAGGAAATTAAACTATCTTCGGACATGAAAAACAAAAAGAAAACCATCCTATGACTGATTCTTGGGAAAAGTGGAACAAACGTTCACATGTAGATTTGAATTCATTTTTATCTGTTATATTTACAACGTGGTGGGGTAATGAGTTCCATTCTGTAATGACGAGCTGTAATGGCGAGTTGCGAAATTGGTTAATGCGACGATTTGTTAAGCGAATTTTGTGAGGATGATCATGTCTGGGAAAGATGCGATGAGGGGGAAGCAATAAGCGTTCCTTAAGGTTAATATCAAAGTAATAAATATTGTGGATGAACGCCAGACGGGAGACTTTGCGCCTGGCGTCTAATAAGGGTAAATTAGCTCTTTGTTTCAGCACTGAAACGCACTTTTAAGGTGAATAGTCACTATATATGAAGCGCGCGGCTTTGTTTTGAATTTTTTTCTATTTTAGCAATTAGGTAATCCTGGTGGGGAGACCGTATGATGCTGGCGTATTCAAGCTGAGATCTGACAAAGGATTAAAAGCTAGTAAGCGAGTTTCAGGGGGAGCTAAATACAACTTCCGTCTGATGAATCCCAAGGAATGACTGTCTTTCCCAACTATGTAGTTAATATGATCGTGCCAACTGAGAGGGAAATGAAAACACCTAGATATTTATATTTACTTACCTTTTCCAGAGGGACACCATTGATATCGTAGTCCTAACTGATTGATGATATCTTTGTTGTCACAGTCATACATTTTGTTCTGTCGATGTTAATTCGCATCTGCCACCTGTTGCACCATGAAGCAATAGAGTTCAGAACGCTTTGAAGTGTACAGGGGTTGGCTGTATGTACTATCTTTTTTTTACAGCACACAATCGTCTGCGAAGAGCCGAATCAATGAAGAAATATTAACAGGGAGATCATTTATATAAATGAGAAAAAGAAGGGGTCCGAGCACAGGAGCCCTGGGGCACGCCAGACGTAACATCAGTGCTTGATGATAACTGATTAGAAATTGCAACGGACTGGGTTCTATTCGTAAGGAATTGTTTAATCCAAAATATTCAACGTTTAATTTTTTTGTAATAACCGCTGGTGTGGTACGCAGTCAAATGCCCGAGAAAAGCCTAGAAATATAATGTCGGTCTGTTGGAGCGATTGAACGTTTTCATAAAGATCAGTTGCGTTTCGCTCGAAGAGTTGTGTTTCGCACGATTTGCCTTTTCTAAAGCCATGTTGTCCCTCAAAAAAAAAAAAAAAAAGTTATACTCCAAAAGAAAATTAATAATATGACTATATATGATATGCTCTAAAATTTTATGAGGAATGCTAATTAACGATATAGGTCTCTAGTTATTTAAGCATGACGTGTCACCGGACTTGTGAACAGGAATAATTTTTGCATGCTTCCAGTCATTCGGCAAATGCCCTTCTTCAAGGGATTGCTGATACAACAAAGCTAGTATGTCGCTAGAAAATGGCTGCGTAATTTTCAATAATTTAGTGTTACTGCCATCTATGCCCGGTGAAGAACGATAAGGGAGGCCTTCGACGATTTTTTTCTATTCCACGTGAACAAACAGTGATCTTTTCCAAAAAAGCACTGTCATAGGTCACTTCACAAGAAGGTAACGGAAACGATTCGTTGGTGAAAACTTCACTGAAACATTCATTAAAATTGTTAGCAGTTTCAAGGTCGGTGCATCTATTTCCCTCCGCATTCGTAAAGCTACGATTAGAACTTGTTTTCGGCGGATTTACGCAATTCCAGAATTGTTTTGAATTTGACTTCAGAAGGCCATGTAAGTCATATCTGTAGAATGTTTTTTTTTAGCTTTTTTTAATTTCGAGAGCACATATAGATGAATGGTAATTATACAAGTCCCAAGATAGATTATCGTTGCTTTCCATGGCCCTGTTGTACAAGCGTTTCCTTTTGTTAAGAAGAGACTAAAGTTTTTTTTAGAAAACCACGGACGTGAAGGGTTGTTCGGAATTTTTATTCTTGGAACGAGGTCGTTGAGAATACAATTCAGCTGATTTTTAAATGCGGACCAGTTTTCTTCGACGGATTGTAAGAGGAAGGACCGCTCAAAGTTATCTAAAAAAATCCTCATAACTGTGCTTAATTCATTAGTTTTTACCTTTGAATAGTCATGAGTTCCTTTAAACTGGTTGCGGGGATGCTGAGTTGCCATTTCGACTTCGATTACCGCCATTTTATGATCACTAATTTCTTCAAGAACATTTACGCGCTTAATTATGTCAGGGGCAGTCGTAAGAAATAGGTCTTAAATAGAGGTTCCACG